GGGGGGGGAGGCAGATCCTGCCACTGTGTGCAGCCCTTGGGGAGATATGGGGAGTGTGTGTCCTTCACATTTGTGTGTAGGGCAAGGATGGGCTGGGGCTGGGCTCTTCCTGGTGCGGGGGCTAGGCTGGGGCTCCTCTTGGGGCGGGTGATGACAGTGCTGTAGTGGGGGGGCTACAGGGTGGGCCACAGCCACTTGAGAATTGACCATAGACCCACCCCCCTCTGCCCAGTACCACCACTGCATAGCCTGCACATAGACCCGACCCAAACCTCCTCCTGGGAGAGCCTGGTGCTACCCCTGGTTCCAGCCGGTCGCAGCAGCCCACCCTTGCCCCACACAGATCCGGAGCCTACGTGGCTCCCCCAGGAGCGTGCATAGCAGCGGGGTCTGACTCCCCCCCTGCATCTCCTGGATGAGCCGCACGGCTCTGTCCTGGGCTGCACTCTGGCTGGGCAGTGCCTGCTGTGGCTCCAGCCCCACTCCCTCCCTCATTGCAGGGGCCTCGATCTGCCCCACACCCCATTCCCCTTCCCCCTCCACAGACTTACCAGCCAGACACTGCTCTCCAAGCTGCCGGGCTGGCTGCGCGTATGCATGCGGCATTTGTTGGTGTCATTGTTGGCCACATCAGCCAAAAAAAAACAGCTTGCCAATAATGTCTTTTCTTTAACTTAATCTACTTATCAAGTTGCCCTAATTTTCTTATGTCCTTCAGGAATTCATCACAACTCTCTTTCTATAATGTGCTAATTGAAATTGCATCAGCAAATGAGTACCATGCTACTTACAGTTTAGAACAGGGACATCAAACTCATCAGGCTTTGTGGGCTCTAAATGGCATGGGGCCAGATTGGGCCCATAGACCAGTCCTGCATGCCAAATGTGGTGCTCCACGTGTGGGACATGACCTAGTCAAGGGCACATCACATGCAGCATACAGGTCCAGTCTGAGGCAGCACTGTTGGCTGGATCTGGTCAGTAGGCTATATCTTTGTCAAGGGATAAATCTGCAAGGAAGGTGAGAACAGATTGCACAGGCAACCTTTATCCTGTTGTTTTCTGAATTCTGAAAGTATGACTTTGCAGCCCAAATGTTCTTTTATGATTGGGGGGAGGGAAAGTGTGTGTAATTTCCTAGGTGTGTGTCTTCTGTAACAAGCAAAAAACCAAGTAAATTAATAAATTCCATGATACAGCATCACTGACACCCATATGTGTCATCAGTGTGTGATGCGTAAAGGCAGTAAAGCACAGCTACTTGAACCAAAGTAACCTAACAGTAGTAGCTTTTGGCCTCTGCCGACCAAAGGGAATGACGTGCTCTTTGACAGTGGGTTTCACGGGTATTTCCTGACAACAGGGAGATATATTTTCTTGATCTATTTATTAGACTTATAGACTTCCCAGGAAAGGCTCAGAGAACAAAATAATTTATAAAAGCAACTGAGAGCACCTCCTGCAATTGCCATAAAGCTTGCTTGGCAGAAAACCCGTGGGAGGTCATGTTTCTCCTC